CAACGTGTAAATGAGTGGACTGTATCAAATGAAATTCAAACAAGGAATTTTTTTAATCTGGAATAATTTTGAATTCTGGAAAATTGATAAGAAATGTATAATGAAAACTAACACGATTAAGGAGGGTTATCATTACATTCACAACTATCAGTTAAAGTAACCTGAACTTTAGCACTTGGCTTAACCCCTCCATCTTTGGCTTAGTTTTCATCAATGCAACTTGCTTATTGTATCATGTGAATCACTGATAATTGTGACCCAATTATTGATTAATTACAGATCAATAAAGCACTGATTTTATAAGTCAAATAAACTCCACTTGCAGTACACACTATTCTAATATCATGAATATACAAATAATATATGACAAAAATATCTCAAACAAATTTTACAATTGCTGATCACCCACAAGACTAGAGGGACACCGGATAATCTATTTTTATTTGCATACTAATATCATGAAAATAATATATCTATATATATATATCATGTATATAAACAATATTCAAACTGCAAATACAAGTTGAAATTTTATACTCTGTAAAAAACCAACAACCAAGTTACCTCAGTTGATATGGAAACCTGTGTCCAAACCCTAATGCTAGAGAGATCGTCTCAAGAGATTGTAACATTGGTCAGTACTGAAAATTGGCCTATGTTTACATAGACAAAATACAATAAAAATGTATACTGGGGAAAAATATACCTATATAATGTATATATAGTGTGAAATAATTATGAAAAAGCAAACAATAATATGATTCAACATATTATTAGAACTTGATCATGACCAGTTCAAAGAGAGAATGATCTAATTGTGAAATAAACCCTGCAAAAAATGACCAGTCACGTGATACAACAATTATTATCATGTGGCCATATATATGTTTATATTAAAGAACCGTTACGGGGAAAATTATTATTATCTTTTTCTACAGATTCTGTTTTTATTTATCATTTTCTTCAAAAAATGACACTACATATATATACATTAATTCATAATTATTCTTCTTTGAGACACAATTACTGATTAATTCAAATACTGTAGACTTTAAGTTACACAATTTAGTAACTCTGGGAAAATTTATAAAGAATAGAGAAAAATGTTTTAAAAAATTAAAGAATACAGAAATGATAAACCACCATCAAGACCCTCAGGTATTAGTCCCAGAGTGTACTCAGAGTAAATTTTTAAATGTATATGAGCTTGCATTTATTATATAAAATGCGTAAAGCTCAAAACACTTATACTTTTTAACAAAGTATCAAGTACTTAACACAGTCCTGATAAGATTATGTTTTCTACAATGTATTTGTATATTTTTTATTTTTATTTGATTTTTTGACTACATGTACATCTTGAACAGCTTTATATCTTATCATGTTAATAATATTACATTGAACTACTTGACTGTAAATTAACTATGTGTAAATATCTGTTTTTGATTGTATTGTAATTTGTATGTGAGGGCCTCAGGGAAGATTAGTTTATTGTAACTAACTGAGTTTACCCTCTTTAAATAAAGAATTTATTATTATTATTATTATTTACAATCATGGTTTGTATCTGTTATAGTACCCTTATCCCACCCCCACCCCCCACTCAACCCGTCCCCCACCCACCACAGTTATAGGCTTTTACAAGGTTAAAAATTTAAAACTCAACAGACTTTGGTGTTCAAAGAGCCGCATTTACTCTGAAATCAAACAATTTCACATAACCAATTAAATCTAAAGACTATAATGATTAACTTTAAATATTTCTGGTTTGAAAACAAATTGCATCAGATTACTGATCAATAAAGTTGTACTTGATTTTATGTGTATTTAAACAGAAAATAATAACTTTTATATGATAAATATAAAAATAAGAAGATGTGCTATAATTGCCAATTAGACAACTCTCCACCAAGAGACCAAAGGACATAAAAGTCAACAACTATAGGTCACCGTACAGCTTTCAACAATGAGGAAAACCCATACCGCATAGTCAGCTATAAAAGGCCCCGAAATGACAAATGTAAAACAATTCAAATGAGAAAACTAACGGCCTGATTTAAACCTTCCCCCTAACCGGGGACAGTGGTGTAACAGTACAACATATGAACAAACTATAAAAATCAGCTGAAAAGGGCTTATAGTAACTCAAAATCAGAAAAACAAGTAACAAAAGCACAGACTGGATATGGTAGGGTATTTATACATTCCTACAACAAAAAAGACCCTAAGTACAGATCTCAGAGAACTCACTGTTACTGAAAGCTAGTTCAAAGCCAATAACAACTTATAAAAAAAAAATCATGTATAGATCTAAATGTCTAAATTAGGACTAAAGTATCAATCACAGTCTTCGCTCTCAAACACAGGCCCACCAGCCAAGGCTTGTAAACATGCTGTCAGGCCTGTAAAAATCATCTCTACAGGCCAATAGAATCTTAACTAAAATTTTGTAAAATTCAGCTTCAAGCCTGTATATTCAAAACTTTATCGTGAACACTGTCATTAACAATCAAAGAAAAACATGACATCCTGCAATGCCAATACAGTTACAGACAGATTGTAGAACCATGAATGTAAATATGTATATAACAATAATATTAGTTTGGTTTAACTTTTAATTTACTGATAACAAAATCAATGTTTATATCAATAAAACATATTTAAAGGTCTAATTACAGTTTTGAATTGGTAACCTTTTAGAATAATTTTATTTGAAGGATCAATTAGTTTACCTGAATTGTATCTGAATTTCTGGCTCCGTCAGTATATAAACAACATCTCAGTAAAAATTAGTTTGTGTATTCCCGTTTGAAATAAGTTTTCTACAGGTACCACCAAATTTACAAACCAAATCTTTGTATCTAATATCTATGGAAGAATTTAGTAAAGGTTTTAAGTAATTTGTGGTAAAAAAAAAATCCTTGACGTAATAATTTACCAGTAATACATAGATATAATGTTCATTGAAATCCAAAATGTCACTACAGAATGACAGACACAGGCATAGCGAACCAGTTGTGAAATATAAACACTGTAAGATGCATGGTGCCAAAGGAACATCACCATGATCACCATCCAAAAATAGGAAAGTTTATAATCATGATAATAGGGAAAGAAAAATCTTCCCTTTTGTTGTAAATTTTAGTGTAGAGTTACCAGTGTAAATCTGAAATATCTAAATCTATCAGTTATTACCATTTATATTTGATTTATTTAAAGCCAGATAACGATAAGTGTTGTTGAATTTGTCAATTAAATGTAAAATTTTTAGATGGGTCTTTAGTAGGTCTCATTGGGGTCTAAGTGTGACGCCGGATTGGCCGATTTTTTTGGAAGCGTGACACTTGATAGTCAAATTATTGACCTGAAAACCAGAAACCAAAATGGGCGGGACATGTGAAATTACAAGTGTTATTATTATTACAATGATAAACAGGATACAGGAATCTGACAATACAAGAAGCGGGATCCGGGATCAGACTCCCTAATGAGACCCTCTTCACTGAGTTTGCCTGTTTGGTCAAAATAATATAAATAATAATAAAAAATATTAGGTAAGCATGGTAAGAATTGGTAGAAGAACAAATTGGTAAATATTGGGTACAAGTTGGTTGAGTACGAGTTGGCAAAGGTACAAGTTGACATGGATCCAGATATACTGTATATCTATGTCAGTCTTACAAGTTATTTTTATTTTCTTGAAGAAGTAAATAATAATATAGGTTTAAATGATTAGTAAAGACATCTGCAAAGGACAGACAATTAAAAATTCTATTAGAGCAAAGATGTCCTGAGAAATTCAAGATAAGAAGATAGTCTGACTTTTTTACTTGTATAAGTAAAAAAATCTGAATGTCTAAGGGACATAACTAACAGTCAGGGGACTTATTGAAATAAGTGATTTTCAAATCACTTATTTAAGTAGCAAATTCGAAGTTTTGTCACAAATTGTGATTTTGTAGTTTTACCAAAATTTTAAACACATATGTTTAGATAATATCTTTTCATTAGTAAAATTGAAAAAAATGAACTTTTTGCTTCTTTTAAGCAGCAAGGTTTATGCCTTTGATACAATCATTTAGCTGCAAATTCTATTTTAGTTGAAAAAATGCTATAAAAATGGCTTTACATAATGAACTGATACTTTCTTAACAGATTTTTCCCAGCAGTGGGATTATTTTTTCTGTAAAATTCAAGGCTTCATCTTATAGATTACGTAATAAATTCTACTGTTCGCGATCAAAATTTCACTGTTTGGGGGTGTTGAAATTAGTGGGGGTTATTAAAATAATGATACTTAAAGAAGTGATTTTTTGGAAGGAAATTAAGGTATGATACTTAAACAAGTGTTTTTTATGTCATTATCCTAGATTTAGTACAAGGTCATCACCTGACATGACCCGGTCATCTTATCAACACAGATGTTGGTTCTGATAATTTTAGCAACATAATTAGTCCCCGGATCATTAGTATTCTATATTTAAAGCTACAATAAAATTAAATCACTCAGTTTAGTGATTAATTTGTACTACTTAAATAGGTGATTATTAAAGAAAGACAACTCTTACTTCCAACCTTTATGGACATAATGTTACTTGAATCAGTGATTTAGAAAATCACTCATTTAAGTAAGTCCCCTGACTGACTAAGCCATTAAAGTAATTTACCTATACAAGTACAAGAAAATAAAATACACTTGTATAAGTATCTTACAAATTAACTTATATAAGTATATTAATATTTACTTCTTCAAGTAAATAAAATTATCTTGTACAAGTAGTACCCCTGACTGTATGTAGGACTTCTGAATACACAAATTATGGGTTAACGTTCTGTCTTAACCTGTTAACATTATTATAAATAGCTTGTTTCACCTACTAACATATTAGTCTGTAAACTATTAATATAGAATAAGGAAATGTGGTATGATTGCCAATGTGACAACTATCCAAAAGAGTCTAGATGACGTTGATATTACAGAAGATTCAGTATAAACTTACTTGAATAAATTGGCCTCCGTGACATCAAATTTGCCATGCAAACTGTAGCAAAGCCACCACCTCCCAAAAGGAACTCAGCCAATCGATAATGAAATGATGGATATCTGTGCTCATGGGTCATTTCGTTCATGTCGTAGTTGCTCATTTTTGAGGAAAGTTGTTTGAAAAAAGGCCGAATTAAAAAGTCAAAGTCAAACGTCAAGGCCTATTTTGTTGTTCTATTTCATCCTTAGAATTATGCTCAAATAAACGTTTTCTCGATCATGATGGAGACATTCTAAGTTAAATTCGACTGATTCTTAGTCCATTTTAAATTGTTCAAGGATTTATATAGTAAAACATTGATTATATACAAATTTTATTCTTTGATCCAGTATATCAGAAATTACACTATCAAAATTCACTGTTACTCTTGTACTTAAAACCCATTGTCAACATTTATTATATGGTCCTACAAGATTGTTCTCGATATTTGTATTATTTAATTTAGCATATCACCAAGATAAAAGGGGGAATTTTAGAATCTTGTCATGATTGAATAATGAAAATATTTTGTCGTTTTACCAATTTTCTGACATGTCATCAGATACAAGTCATATAAGCAAGTCATCCTTGTCTTGTGCAAAGTCATTTCTTTCAAAGAAAAAGTATGGACGATCCTTTGCCAATTTTTTGCTCTTTTTAAAACTTTCACCCCATAAACAAAATGAAGTTATAGATGACTTTATACACTGTATGACAGAATGGACAAATCAGTTGATCACTGAGGAAAGAATTGATGACCTGTTTAAATGTTATGACCAGGCATGTGAAATCCTCCCAGACTGTGAATCTATTCTAAATAATATTGGAGCTCAGCTCTTCAGGTAAGGGGACGACATAATAAATAAGATTTATTTAGAGTCGGCATAGTATGCAAATAAGGGCATAACATAAGCTCTAATGAGCTTTTAACCGACATACAAGACATAACAATACAATACATAATACACATGCAATAATTTACATAACACAAAATGAAGCACTATAAGCATGGTGGTAATAAGCAGATTATATCGTCTCGTATTGTGTTTTCGACCGTCTTACGTTTTCGGCCTAATTCTACATTCACTTCCCTTATGCTGCGCATGTCCGCGTGACGTCATATTCAGCTGCTATAATTAATAATAATATGAAATAATACCACGTGGTGGTTAAGATGTTCCAAGTAAAGTTAATGTAATTAAGTATTTACGTTTTTTTGTTTGATATCACATTTGTGTAACCTTTTACCAGAGACATATAATACAAGAGATTCGCAACTCGGCGAAATCCCGTAATAACACGCAGCCACTAGTTAAACCTTGCGAGATCTCCTTAGGTAATAAAGTCATTAATAAAAGTATTAAAAGTGCTCGAAGTAAGGACGAATGTTTAAGCATAACATAAACTGTTTCAGTGTTAAATTTATCATAATTAATTAAATAATTTGAGTACATATATAATTATTTATTTTAATGTAATTTTGATTTTAGATTTGTATTATTGAAAAAGAGACATAATTTGATATTGTATTAAAAAAAAAAACCCCTGATATTAAATAATTAACACTTGATAAATTGTGTCAGAGTTCATTTTATTTGATAGTTACATAATGGGTTTCTATTGAATATACAACTGTCTCGGAGACATAATTTCACAGTGTGACATGTATATTAGGTTTGAATTATTCGATGACCAGGTAAATCACGAACATGTTATAAACAATGAGTTTTAATTGACACCTTGTAAACAAGAAGTTGTTACACCACAGGTGTCCACACTCTTTCCAAAAATACAATGCACAAAATGTAAAATTAATTAATGTGGAAAAAAACTTAATTCATTTGTTAATTAATTGTTAATCATGATAGGCTTTGTTTTTTATTCTTGATATTTATAAATTATTAAAATTCTATTTATTTTTATATTCATCATTTATTGGGCTTGCATTGAGTTTTTTCTGTAGGATTGTCGGTAAATGTTTGATTTCTAAGTGTTGTTTGACAGTTTAATCATAGGCTTGCATTGTAAATTTATTGTTTCTTCATGTTCGAAGTGTGTATTGAGAATTAATATTTAAGAAAATTACAATTAATTTCTCATTTGAATAAAGCTTCATTCATGTGCACGAAATATGGAAAATTCCGATTTTATTTCGTGGGATGACAATCTTAATAGTTACGACTTAGATATACACCTAGTTGAATAAACTGATAACGAACTCTTTGTTGATAGTGAAAAGGACGAAAACATAAGCGAGAGACCCACCAACAAAAACAATTGACAATACTGCATACATAGATGGATATGTGTGTCCTCGAAGCAACAAAAAATCTATAAAAAAACACAACATTGAAGTGGGAGCCGAGGTCATACATCAAAGCAACATGGAAGACACTATTTAAAAAGTATTTTATAACCTTATTTCCACGAGACAATCATTTATAGTGGTTTTTGTCTTTTAATCATTTGTAGTGGTTTTTGTCTTTTAATCATTTGTAGTGGTTTTTGTCTTTTAATCATTTGTAGTGGTTTTTGTCTTTTAATCATTTGTAGTGGTTTTTGTCTTTTTATTCTGGGGTAAAGAGATGGCAGTTTAAAAGTAAGATTGTTTATGTGTATACATATACAAATCCTTGGTGTAAATAAAATCTTTTATTATCAAATATATATATATATATATATATATCTTTTGCAGTCACCATTGAAATGTCCTCAATACGATTTTAATTTAAAAATGAATTAAGTTCATGTTTTGAATGAGAAGCGTAGTCTGAAACGACAACAGATGCATGAAGCTCATTCATAATATTACGACCAGCAGAAGGTTTCCTTTACTAGGAAAATTTTACTCCTTTTGTAAATTTACTGCATTCGTTCATCTTTGGCACCCTAAAAAGAAGAAAAAAACAATGACTTCAGAATAGGAGAAAATAAACAACTTTGCCATAAACAGATTGAAAAATGAATAAATTGCCTAACAAAATGCAGACTATAAATTTCATAGTGCACAAAAATGAAGGACTGATTTAAGGAAATTTGTCCATGAACAATTTCAATATTTAGCCAGTTTACAAAAAGAAAAAACAAAATTGGGAGTAATATATATCCCCATAATTTGACATATTTATTTGTAAATTTCTAGTTTTGACAAAACAGATTGATAAAATTAGCATAGCTGGCTGTGTGTATAAATAACAAAATAATAGTCACCTTTGTTGATATTTTTAGAAATAAATGTTGGATCAAATTTTACGAAACTGGTCCTATTTTCACGACATAACATCATTCTCATATTTCCAAGTTTTACGAGATTAAATGATAGTAACAGCACAGCTGGCTTCGGGTACTTATAAGAAAAAATCCCCACATTTGTTGATAATTTTGGAGAAAAAAAACACTATTGGATCAAATTTTAAGAAAATAGTCTTATTATCACAAAACAACATTTGGGAGTATTATTGCCCCATTAAATTATATATTTATAAGAATATTTCCAAGTTTTAAGAAAAAAATTGGGAGATCAAATGGTTTCTACGGCAATAGGAGGTGAAGTAAAATGGGCCGAGTTTTAACTTTGTTTGTATTTGATTAATCTCATCATTAGAACACATTTTATCAATAACAAATTATTAGAATTAGTTTTTTGTAACTTTTAAATATACTTGCATGCTTTAGCTGTGAAAGGTATCGGCATTATCCATTAGAAAAATCGTGAGGCGTAGAACCTTTTTCACAACAATAGCGAGTTTTTACCCATGAATCCATCGGAATAATCGGCTTTCCGGTGGCCACGTCATTTCATTGGCTGTTATATAGACTCTACTAGAGTTGCGAATCTCTTGTATTATATGTCTCTGCTTTTACTAATACTATTTTTACCTTCAAAAAGAATCTATAAAAAATAAACAAATATTCTAGAAATATGGCAGGGGGACTTTTTGTACGTGAAGTTTACATCCAGGTCATTAAGTCACATGACTGTTAGGTGGTTAGTTGTAATACTTAAAGTTATTTTTAACACGGAAATCTGCATGATCCTTACAGCTTTTTACTAAAAAAATAAAATATAGATTAATTTTAATTTACAGAAACAACAGTCTGTCAGTGGAAATTACAGACAATACTCACTCCACAATGCCTTCACTAATGTATTGAACAAAAAAAATGACTGTATACAAGATCAAACTTGCTTCCAAAGTGCCTCATGTGAAATGTGTACAACTAGTCAAATAAAGATATCAAAATAATATTTTTTATCTTAAAGTTGTATATGTAACCATTTAATTCATTAAGTCATAAGTTTGATCGCCTCCTAACAATTTAAATAATTTGATATAGACATTGGCATCAAATTTTAACCAATTCCGGATCTGTACGACATGTCATTTCCGACTTTGGACCAGTTTCTTAGATAGGTCGAAAACACAAGACAGGTCGAAAACACAAGACGCTAGTTTTTGTCAACAAACGTGCCATCGGTCTAATGAACTCAAATAAAAAAATAATTTAAGATCGAAATATATTTCAGATACAATTATTTTATGCACAAGTATACTAGTGACTCTCAAAATATTAGGCATGTCTATGTTGAAACATATAAAAGGGAAATTCGGAGAAATATGTTAGTAGGTCGAAAATACAATACACAAGGATAATAATAAGCATGATAAGATAGTTATAAAAGCTAAAAGCATACTAGGTATTAAAGCTAAAAGCATATAAAATGTAAACTAAGCATGATTAGAAAGCTGGTAAAAATGCATAACATAAAATATTAAAAATAGGATATGATCTAAATGGTAAAATTTTTATATAATACATTAATTGATAATCCGCACAAACTGTGCACTTAAAGTCATTTCCATTCCATTGCATTCCATGATTTTAAAATATTTTTAAACTGACTGAAATTAGCAATCTCCAAAATCATCAGGTAGATCATTCCATAAAACAGCAGCTGTATATCATGTATATTTAAAAGAGTTCTTACCATAGGTTGATGTTCGAACCCTAGGTATGTCTGCAATATTAGAATATCTAAAATTAAATTTACAATCTTTCAATACAACTAAATCATGTAATCATGGTGGTGACAATTTATATAAAATTTTAAAACATTCAATAGCCATGTACGCATACGTCTAATTTTCAGTGATGGAACCTTTGCTCGTACAAGAAATTCATCATACGAACTAACATAGTCTTCATATATAAAGGT